TAAAGAGATACCTCTAAACACGGATGAGATAAAGAAAAATATAAATGAGTTGAAGGCCAAACTCAAGAAAAATACAACGACGCCGATTAACCAGCATCTATACTATGGTATAAATAGTGTGAATATTTCTGAATTATCATGGATGGACCCTCTAGCTAGTCAAGTAATTTCAGACGAGTCGGAAATTGTACAAAATCTACCAGGGCAATTTAAGCATACTTTTATGAAACCAGCACGACAAATGGTACCTTCATCTCTCCCGTCTGCAGTGAAAAGGAAATGTAATGAATTTGTTACTACTTTCATTGAGAATCGTGAAATTGATTTACCAAGAAAACTTATACATGATGGGACATGAAAGGAAACAGAGAATGAGCTCGCAATAGTTGCAGAGAGAATTTTGAACACATTGTAGGTATTTTTTATGATATTTTGTAATATCTAGTTATTTTCTGCTCACTGCTTATGTTTTTTATGAATATTAGAAGCGATTCTTGAAATAATCCAGCATTTGGAATGAATTTTGTGGATTCCCTAAATGAAGGTACTTACGTAACCAATGTGATAGTACTGGCCTTCCGAGCAACATTGAAGAATCTTCCTCTAGGAAAAAACACATTCGTTAGCAGTTCTGAACGTTAAAGTAGTGCCAGTATAGATAGAAAAGCTGATAGACGATCTGGGAGATGGCCAGATGTTATGTTTATAATGAAACATAATGGAAAAAATTACGAACTTTTATTTACTGAATGCTCTCGCTTATCATGTATGACGAAAAAAGAAAGAGATGATCAAGTGAAGTTGTGGTGTAAGATTAATGATAGGATGTACTGGGCTCGTAAAAGTTGTAAGTCTGATAAGGATGAATTTGGCATTATCAGAGTACAGATAGCTGAAAAAAAATTATGTTTGAGCGTTCTTATAAGGGATATGAGTGAGGTTCATCGATATTATCATCTTTATGAATCAGAAATTCCGGTTTAACTATCAGATCTATCCATTGTAGAAAAATTCGTAGAAACATTACTGATATTATGAAATATTCTGATCATTAATATGAGCATACTGTACAATGCACCTTTAAAAAGATCAAATCAGAATGTAGAAAAAAGCTCTACAATTTCTTCACCTATGCGAGATAACTAGAATTCCTTAACATTTTTTATCATGTATTTTTATTTTTTCTGTATCAATAAAGGGACCCTAGTGGTCGATTTCGCAAATATACATTTATGTTTTTTCATATGAGAATAATAATTTCTTGGCAAAAGTGATTAGCGTGAAGAATCTTCACGCTCATGTGATTTTTTTTTTATTTTGAATACTTATGTACAGTGTATAGTTTTATGGATCATGACATCAGAGCTTAAATTATTGAGACAACGCATTAGCGAGCTTGAGATTAAGAACGCCAAGCTTGAGGCTGAGAAAGCTGAGATTGAGGCTAGGAATGTTGAGCTTCTAAAGCAGGTTATGGATGAGAATGCTAAGCGTAATGCTAGAGTCGAGGAATTAGAACTAAAAAATACGGAACTTGAGGCCAGATTCTTGATGTTGGAACAGGGATCCTCAGTAGTGGATAGGCAGTCACAGAAGGATAGGGAAACGATAGCAGAAATATCAGCTATTGATGAATCTGACTCCGTAATAGACCAGCAAAATGATGTCAACACTAAGTCAATGGAAGAGATACCTGAGGTGATTGCAGAGCAATCGGTATCAGATAAGGTAATAGATGATTTTATTTTCGAAGAATCTGTCAATGTATCTGACTCAGTTATAGCTAAGCCCCTGTTTATTCACGAAGTTCATAGTCAGTTAAATTTATCAGAGGTACGAGATCTAGGGCTGTGCAATCAGAATGGTTTGACTCTCACCCCACAGATCGAAAAGGTAGTTTTGCTACCAGATCAAGGAGGGTCGTTAGAGGACAGAGAGATAGATACTTTCTTGAATGAAGATCATAAGAAAAGGATTAGTGAAGAAATAAGACAAAGGAAGTGGAAGAAAAAGCTTCGAGAAGGTGATTCCTGGGAGAAGAATTTGGATTCAGAGCCATTCATAGCCGATATCTCTGGTATCAATTCTCAGGATTCTGTCATTCCCTTGAACGAAAAAGATGAACAAGATGTTTATCTTGCCAGTCTATCATCCGAATTATGTGTTGCTTCGCCCGGCTTTGAATATAGTAAGGACGGGAAAGTTCCCTATAAACAAAAAGTAGAAAAAGGTTTAGTATGTGAA